GTTAGCATAGTGTTAGTCAATTTTGTCGGGATTTTTGTTTGTCGGGATTCTGTTTGTCGGGATTTTGACCCAAACCCTGTTATATTACATATCAGTCAGAATCGCTTCTAATAAAAGTTGGTAGAACTCGGGATCTCTATCGTTTATACAAAAGTTATATTTATGACAAGTAATCTCAAAATTCTACGTAGACTTTAATTATAGAACTTATTAGATAATAAATAAATATAAAATTTGTGTAACGATACTTTAAACGACCTGAATGCTTATATTGCTGCACGAATCTAATTTATTATGATAATTTCTTTAGGAAATACTGATGAAATAAAACAGTACGTAGCATTACCTGTTACTGTAAATGTGAAACTTACTAATTCTATATCGATATATAAAAATTTCCGGAAATATATTCATTGTTCAAAACAAGTAAAATACAGGCTTATTTTTGAAATTTTTTAATATTCGTTATGTACGTCATGGACTTTTTAAAATCAAATTTATACAATAATAATATAAAGAGTATTGCGTGGAACTTTTGTACCTGTCTTACAAGCTTAGCAGCCGCAATTCTATAAATAATAATTCGCTTTATTATTTACTCGATAATTATGAAAATGTATTACTTCATAATTTATATTTTCTTGTTTCTTTCTACTGTTATTTTTACAGTTAATGGTCTTGTTCCTGGTCCAAGATTATGGCCTAGCTCAGCATTTGTTAATAATAAACTCTATATTATTGGCGGGCTGCCAAATAATGACTCTTTTTATCTAGATATTACGAAACCTTTTACAGTAACTGATATGTCGTCAATGCCATGGACTGATATTTCTACAGGTTCCCCTCAAAAAAATAGTGTTACGGCTTGTACTGGCGGAGCGAATAATAATTCAATTTTTGTTATTGGTAATAAACCTTCAATTTCTTATCGACCTTTGGTTAGTTATTATGATACAACCTTATTATCATGGACCAATGTTACTGCTTCCTCTGGTCCTGTTGACAGATATTTTATTTCATGTGCAAATTTTGGGAAAGGGATGATTGCTATTTTTAGTGGCACTTACATTACCCCGACCGGGAATAGCTCTAGTGATCTTTGGATATTCAACACTTTAACACTTACTTGGAATTCAAGTAAGGCAACTAATCCTCCAGCAGGTAGATCCAATTATCGTGCATTAACTTTACCTGATGATAATATTTTATATATTGGTGGAAGTTATAATAATGCATCTTTAGGATATGTACCAATGAATAATGTATGTAGTCTACTTTGACTTTTTTTTAATCTATCAATTTATTTTTATTTACTTTGTTTATTATATTCGTTAGCTATCATTATATAATACAAATTCTGACAGCTGGACTAGTATAGTAAGTGAATTACAACATAATAAATATGAAATTTATTTTATTCAGATAAATAATTGTCACGGCTGAAGTTTGAAATTTGAAATTTTTTAATACTGTAATATGAAATTTACAAAAAATTTTGGGTGCTTTTTTTTTTATAGTTAGGTTAGAATTTAGGGTTTAGGGTTGATAATAAAAGAGTACAGTAGGATTTAGCAGGGTTTATGGTTTCAAATCGAGACCTCGTTTCAGCCGCGACAATCATTATTATCGGCCGTTGCGCGTCTAATAATTATATATTATTTTAGACTACGTCTGGTCAGACCCCTCCACCTCGTATATATTTTTCTGCTGTATTAAGTATGTAAATACTATATAATATCTTACATATTTATATTTTAAATACAAGTTCTTCTTCTTTTAACCATTTTTTATTATATAGCATCTGATGGTCGTATTATAATGTTTGGAGGTCAGGGTCCGTTTACAACAGGATCACCACAAATTTCTTATGGTGATTTGTGGATCTTGAATATATCAAATTATCAATGGTCAAGTGGAAATATCTCAAATCCAACTATGGGTCCATCAAATCTCTTTTCTCATACTGCAGATTTGGTGAACAATACTTATATGTTTGTTTCTTTTGGTAAAAAATTTTAATTATTATCCTTATTTATTTGATTATAATGCGAAAATTTTTGTTCAAACTTGTTAAATTTCTCTTTATTTTTTAAGGTACTGATTCTTCTGATTTTCCTACTCCTACAAATACTTCTTCGAAAATATATATACTTGATATAAGCAAAAATAATACTTATCAGTGGATTACTAATTTTTCTTTGTATCCCACAACAACAACTTCCATTTCAACTCCAACTGAATCTCCAATTAAAACTCCAACTCCAATTACTCATTCAGTTGCCTCAAAAATAAATACTAATTTTGACTTAATTATTAGTATATTTATTAGTATATTTATTAGTACTATTCTTTTAGCAATATTTGGTTAATAATTTTAGAGGTGGTTTGAAAGTTGTTGGAATCTCATAAAATATTATTATATTATTAAGTTATAAGATTATTTAATTTTATAGTAATACAAAATAAAAATTATAAATTTTATACTTTAAATTTTTAATAATTAAGCAAAACATATATAGAAGTATAATATTGGTATCTATATTATTTTGCAAAGTTTTATAAAGTTCTCTTTTAAAAAGTAATTTTATATACGCTACTTTATTTTAATAAAGATTTCTGACCCTAACGTTAATAAATTTTGAGATTTTGCTACTTTAATTTGCATTATATTAACTAATTAATATAGAACTAATACAAGTATATTTTACTTTATTTGTAAAATACAGTTAAAGATATTTGCTTTTTTATTAATAAATTTTAACTTTTTAAAATAAATTTAAACAAAATTTATTTTTTAATTTAATACTTTATATAATAAATCTGAAAGAGAAATTTTAAATTTTGTTTAGTTTTAAAAAAGTTATATTAGTTTAAATTTTGAAATTTGATATTTAAATATATTATTTTAAAATTTATCATATAATATTGTTCACAGAATAGCAAAACTAGGCTTTTACTTGTTATATACTCGTGCTATATTTGCTACTATAAATACATCTTTCATATTTTGATAATACTAATTAGAGACTATTTCTAGTCTCTTCAATCTTCTAGTACTTTATTGTAAACTTCTCTTTTATTATTTTAACTATTTTTCTAATT